TCCTCCTCAGTGTTCTGGTTCATGTGGACAAGCCACTTTTGTACAGCAATCTCCCCTTGTTCAGGTAGTTATGGGGCTAGCGTGCTCCCCCTCACCACGTATGGGCTCCACATTCTAACCAAATACCTGTAGCGCTATTTCCAAAATATTGCAGAAGTGACCCATACAAGGAAAAAGTCGTGGTGGGGAGAGGGGAAGAGGGAGAAAAAGGACCTCACTCATTAACAGCTCAACTGGGGCAAAAAAATAAAATAAAAATAAAATAAATAAATCTCCCAGTCCTCCCCAGTCACAGTACTTATGATGGGGAATGGTGGAAAGTATTCTTTTACTAATTCTTGGCTGTATGTGTTGAAAAGTTGCATCAGACTGACAGTAATCCTACTAGGGCTTTCAAGGTAAGTGAAATACTTTAAGGTGGGTTTTTTCCCAGGGCCAGCCCCTTCCCAGTGATTTACTGTGGCCAAGTGGTTTACTGTGGTTTAAAGCCAGGTCTCCCGAGTTCTAGTCCATCACTCTATCCATAACCTCATACTGGATACTACAGTTAGGAGAAGGAAAGTGTTTAAAAGAGGTTGCTGGAGCTTGCTTGTAGTTTTTTGTTTACTTCAATTAGTGATTCTCCTTCATCCTACCGGTATTAACTTTAAATCTTACTTTTATAATCCTTTCCCAATCCACTCCCCACCTTCTTTACTCTATATTTGTTGTTTATCTGAATTGCATGGACCCAGGTTATGAAATTATGGAGTGGGTTCTGAAACCCACCCCATAATTCAGATTAAACCCTCTGAGGAAGGCAAACTCCACTCTTCAGAAGGAAGGAGTAGGTAGAAGGTAAGACTTGCTCTAATCAAACATGTTGATCTGGTGCTTTCCAACAAAAAAGAAATGTCGACTGGCCAAACAGAAACATTTCTAAAGACCGAGGGTGCGGTTACCCTCTTGAAAGGTATCAACTTTTGAAATCGACCTAAAAACATTTGGTTTCTATGTCAGTATGTGTGTCCTTTAGGGACAACTTTGAAAAGCGGTGTGGTATATTGATCCCGGGAACGACAAGCACTTTAAAAGCATGATGTTTACAAGCGGATGGTTTCCCACAGAATTTGGTACCGTCCTGAAGCAAAAGTTGATACAGCATGTTACCAAAATAGATGGGGAAGATAGGATTCTTCCTTGATACATTATGGAAGGAAAGGAGGAATGAATGAAACATGAGGAGGATTCTCTGTGGAACTTGAAGGCCAGAACTGTGGGCATCCTTAACAAAGCCACAGCTTCTTGCTTGTTGATCATGCCTTATGGAGGTGGCCATCAGAACTGTGGGCATCCTTAACAAAGCCACAGCTTCTTGCTTGTTGATCATGCCTTATGGCAGGGAGGTGGCCATTTGGAGCCAACCTGGTGCTAAGCTACATACATCTTCCTCTCACTAGTTAGTGTCTCTGGGCTCATTTTTCCCAGTAACTCAAGGAAACCTGCAGGAGGGCAAAAGGGGAGTTCAGGAAAAGACTCACCAAGGGGGGGGGCAGAGGGGAAGAAGGGAACAGGAAATCGGGCAACTGAAACAGGACCTCCTCACATAGGAGAGAGCCAAGATGCTTGCACCTTTGGCAGTGGGGCTGCCAGCCATCCTCTCTCTTTCTGTTTTCCTCAGCAGCCCTTCATTGGAGCAGGTAGGCGGGCAGGTGGCATCATGCTGAAGGAAGTGAGAGAGGAGGGGACTTCCCGAGGACTCTTGCTGCAGTGGAGGGGTGCTGTGTGCAAAGCTGCAGTTGCAACTCCATACAAGAAAACCA